GTGTATTTCCACTGTAGAAAAGGTTGTTCGGGGCCGAAACGGACTTCTTTCATATTTGTCGACCAATATGCAGAAAACTACGTCAGTATATCATTATAAACACAGCCGTTTTTGTCTTAAGTGAACTTAAACGGATGAGAAAGAAAACGCACGTGTACAGTAGTTTTATATCTGCGTGCGTTCGGTGTTAAAGACACAGCAGTCTATAAACGCGCTGCCTGTCATTAATGTTAATCAAAGAACAAAAGAAAATCATTCACTGATCTTGACTGAATATATTTAATAACTTTAACGAATTAATCTATTTTATTCATGAAAAGAAAATGCAGTGTTTTTAAACTTTTAATTCGTTTCTGTACCTGAAATTTGGTTCAGTTGTATTTATTTATGCTATTGCTAATTGATTTGTTTGTTCCTATTTGACTGTTTACTTGTCTTTAACATTTTAATATTTGAAATGTATATAAGTCTAGTTGTTTTTGCTGTGGTATTTTTGTGAAAAGCATGGTCAAAAGTTCCTCTTGCAGTGTTCTGTAGGCTGCTGATTTTTGCTCGTGTTATTCATCTGCAACATAATGCTTTGCAAAGAGACAGAATAAATGTTTGACATCTAAATGTTTAACTTCATTTTTCTTTATATAAAATTTTTTATCTTATTGGAATCGAAACTAGGAATCGTTAAGAATCGGAATCGATAAAATTCAAACGATACCCAACCCTAGTGAAGGATAACACTGGATGTTTTGGTGTCTCTGATTGTAAGACACAGGTTCTGATGTTTCACCTGTTTGTGATCTAGTTTTCAGTACTATGTAAACTCTGTAAGCTGTACCTGTGTTTGTGAGCACATGACCCAGGAGACTGAATTATTTTTTTTTTTCTGTCCTGTCTACCTATATGAAGTGAGTTCAAGCAAAGCACTTTCCAAGGCCGAAACACATCTAGAGTGACCTATATGTGCATGTGTATGTGTGTTATCACTCAGGTGCTATGGAGGAGCTGCACAGTTTGGACCCGCGCCGGCAGGAGTTGCTGGAGGCCAGATTTCTGGGCGGAGTCAGTGGCAACACAGCGGGCAGCACTGGCAGCGCTAGCGGAGGAACTAAAGTTAGTGGCTGAGTTTATAACCAAACTGTTATTGCAAACACACAAGCTTGCAAACAGTAGTAGTGGCAGAGGGTAGCATTTTTGTATGAAAGCACTTCTATGGCTTTCAAGACGCCATTACGCCTCGCTTACGATGTAGAACTATTTCAAGCAAGGTTTAGAGCTAATCTAGCACATATTTATTGACTGTAATGCTTATTTCTTGCTAGGAATAGTCATAAGAAAAAAGCTTACCTTTATAAATTGCCTGATTGTTCAGACACCAATTATATTCACCAAACTGGTGATTGTGGGATATTATAGGTGATAAAGTAAAAGTACATCCAGGCTGCTTTCATTTGTATTATTATTATTATTACTAAATAAAAATATTACTAAATAAAAACAATACTTTTATAATATTTCACTGTAAAACAAAAAATTATATATTATAGATAAATAGATGGATGGATATATAGATATTGAAATAATTAGGGATGCACCGAATATTCGGCAACCGAAATGATTCGGCCGAAAATAGCAAAAAAAAAAACTCTTTCGGTGTTGTTCTGTTAAATAAAAGAAAAATTAAGACAATAATAATAGTAATTATAATATACCCTACAATAGCACTATTAATTCATTAATCATAACATTCACACAGTGTTCAATCTGTAATATATTCTAATGTTTTAAAAGAAGTCTCTTCTGCTCAGCAAGGCTGCTTTTTATTTTACCATAAAAAATACATGCCTGATTAAAGAAGGGAGTCTCAAAAACGGCCAAAAAATATTATTTTACTAACTTATTAATTTTAAGTTAAATTGTGCTTTGTTGGTAGTGTCTGCTAGAGTGTTAAAAAAGTGTTCAGTGTTAAGTGAATATTTTTAAATTGTTGTTTTGTAATGGATTTTTTTATTTGAAAAGCAAGACAAAACAGTAAAAAGCACATTTTGGCTATTTAATTTATGCAATGGTGAAAACCCCCCCGCGAAAAACCATGTTCGGTCTTCGGCCTTTGGCCCAGTGTTTCATTTTGTTCGGCTTCGGCCAAGAATTTTCATTTCGGTGCATCCCTAGAAATAATTAGATTGTATATAATTAATATTATTACATTTTTGCATTTCAGCTATTAAATTACAATACTAATATTTCTGGCTTAATTTCTTGATTTTCAAATGTTAACGATCAAACTTTTAATCTGGCGGAAAACAGGGAGCCCTTAAAGCAACACAGTGCCGTGCTTCACTCTAAAACACACTGACCAAACATTTATTCAGTTACATTGCATATTTATTTTTATTGTGCAGCCCTAACAGGATGTTACACAAACGTCTTTGCCTCTGGATGCTGCTTGATTTAATGTTGTTTCAGACACAGCCGGTTTCATGGCAGAGGCTCAAAGTCTTCCTACTTTCATGATGAGCTTTTGAAGAAGATTGTGTTTTCTGAAAGGGAGGACATTGTGACCATGAGGTTCATGTCAGGTTACAGTGGGCCTCACACTGAAACATGCAATTCTCTATTGCTGTGTCATGTTGCCTTGCTTATACAACTGTCCTCTCCTTGAAGTTGTCAAATAATTAATTAATAACACCTGCTGCATGAATACCTCATATTCATCTGCATCGACTCATGTAAATGTGTTTCTCCTGCACAGACCTTGACAAACAACGAATGTTCCAATCACAGTTTTGGTAGCTTGGGCTCCTCCAGTGATAAAGAGTCAGAGGTAAGTTTAATTCTGTATGATCGTACAAACGCCTTTAAGCCACATACCTGTTACATACTGTGATGTATTTCCAAACAGAACATTCAGTGGGAAATAATCACATCATGATTTATAACATTGATTAATTGCAGTTAGCAGCTGATTGATATTATCGCCCTGATTAATCAGTTGATATTTAATAACCTGAAGATTAACAACAGCTTAATTTATTGGCCAATAAATGTGTTAGTTCATCCAAATGAAATTTCATCAACCCTCCATGTCATTCCTAACCCATAAGCCTTTCGTTCATCTTCAAAACACATATGAAGATATTTTATTGAAAATATCCCTCCATTAAAAGTCCTTTTTAGGCCTTTATTCACATATAAAGCTTGATAAACCCACATACACAGAGCACCGATTCTGCATCACTGCCTGTTTAGCTCCGCCCACTGATTTGCCTTAATTTCTTAATTTTCAAATGTTAAACTAACTTTTAATTTGACAGTAAACCACAGGGAGCCCTCAAAGCAACACACATTTTAATTCATGTATATCACATATATTTATCTGATTAAATTGCAGCCTTTGCAAATCTCTGACTTGTATTTATTTGAAAGTAGGACTGAGCCATATGTATTTCAGTTGCGCAGCCCTAACAGGATGATGTTACACAAACACTGGGTTCAGACGTGGATTCTTGCCTCTGGGCGCTGCTTGATTTCATGTGGTTTCCGACACAGATTCATGGAAGAGGCTCAAAGTCTTCCTACTTTCATGAAGAGCTTTTTGACTCTTTTTGACAAATTGTGCTTTCTGAAAGGGAAGACACTTTGACCGTGAGGTTCATGTCAGGTTACAGTGCACTTCACACTGAAAACCAGTTTTCTTTTGCGGTGAGATGTTGTCTTGCTTATACAACTGTCCTCTCCTTGAAGTTGTCAAATAATTAATTAATAACACCTGCTGCATGAATACCTCATATTCATCTGCATCGACTCATGTAAATGTGTTTCTCCTGCACAGACCTTGACAAACAACGAATGTTCCAATCACAGTTTTGGTAGCTTGGGCTCCTCCAGTGATAAAGAGTCAGAGGTAAGTTTAATTCTGTATGATCGTACAAACGCCTTTAAGCCACATACCTGTTACATACTGTGATGTATTTCCAAACAGAACATTCAGTGGGAAATAATCACATCATGATTTATAACATTGATTAATTGCAGTTAGCAGCTGATTGATATTATCGCCCTGATTAATCAGTTGATATTTAATAACCTGAAGATTAACAACAGCTTAATTTATTGGCCAATAAATGTGTTAGTTCATCCAAATGAAATTTCATCAACCCTCCATGTCATTCCTAACCCATAAGCCTTTCGTTCATCTTCAAAACACATATGAAGATATTTTATTGAAAATATCCCTCCATTAAAAGTCCTTTTTAGGCCTTTATTCACATATAAAGCTTGATAAACCCACATACACAGAGCACCGATTCTGCATCACTGCCTGTTTAGCTCCGCCCACTGATTCTACATCACTGCCTGTTTAGCTCCGCCCACCGATTCTACATCACTAGGTGCGTTCGACTTGAACCGCGGCTACAGACGGCAGTCAATGAGAGTAGCCGCTTGCAGTCGGGGGCGGAATTGAAAACAGACACGTCAAGTCGGACACTTTCTGCACTTTTGGTGCTCGTGACGCTCTCACGGTGTTTGCATACTCTTATCACAGATGAAGTGAATAACATGCAATATTTGTCAAATACACAGACGTTTCAGAAACGTTTTCATGAGCAACAGAAACACGTTTTATATACCGCTTGATACAGCGCCATCTGTTCAAGAATAAAGTTAAACGTAAATATATACTATTTAAATACTAATAAAGTGGGGGTATATATGCTTTTATCAGTGTTTTTTTGATAAACGCCACTCAATATAACATTGCAACTACAATAAAAAAAAATTTACTGTTCTAAAAACAGATTTGTGAGTAGTATTGGAATTGAAGATGTTAGAAACACACGTCATTGTTGTCATGTGGTGAATTTGGCCAGTCGTGAAACAGCTGTGTCGTCATCAGCGCTCCTGCAGTCGCTCTGGAGAAACTGTGCCGGCTGAGTCAGTTGGCTGCTCTCAAAACGCTATCGCGGTACTTTGATGCCACATGTGACGGTGATGTGGCATCGGCGCCGGTTCAAGTCGGACAAAATTTCAAACCGGTATGCACTGCTTCAAGTCAGCCGCCGATCGGTCTACGCAGCACCGCATGAAGTTGAACGCACCTATTGTAAGGCACAATTCGACGCAGGATTTTCAGAAAGATTGAAACTAAAAGACAATGCTGTGCAACTATATTGGAACTGACAGTAATGTCGCACAAGTGTGAGTATCTGTGCAGATCGTTTGATATGTATTGAGTTATTTATGCGTTTATGACCTAAATCACAGCAGCGTCCATCTATGAGGAATGTACGCTGTCAAACATACACAAGTGTTAGCCAATCGTAGCAGTGGGCGTTTACTTCCGAGTAGTGGTCGACCGATATGGGTTTTTTGACTGCCGATGCCGATATCTTGGAAAGCAGGGTGGCCGATATAAAGCAGGTATAATTTTATTTATTTTAATTAATATTTAAGAAATTTGAAATCATTTGAAAATGGATTAAAAAATAAATGTGTAAAAT